TTGGTAAAGTTGAATGTTCCTCATATAAACATATTAATAACTTTACTACCTCAAGAACTTATAATTATTTGTCTTCTCTTAGCCTAGAGCCTTGCCCAGATGTTGAAGTAATGTATTTCTATTAGCTTTTGCAACATTTCTTTCAAAATAAATTATATTTTGAACACATAGGAAGGTGAAGAAAACAATATAAAAATACAAATTATTTTACTTAATAAAAATAAGATTGTTTTAGTTCTTAATGTAATAGACAGGCTACTAATATTATCAGCTGGCAATATATTTTATTTATTAAATTTATTTCTTTATTGAAATCATATTGAGTTTATTGCTTACTGTGCAATTTTCACTAAAGGACTTTCTAAATTGCTTCTAAATTCTTAGTTTATTATTTTTTTAATATAGAATCTTTATTCCATTTTTTCCATTACCATTTAGTCCACTTGCATCCCTCTCCCCCAGCAATCTAAATGCTTAGTTTATAAGGTTAAGAAAAACATCTTCAACCCTGACTTCATCAAGATGCCTAGAAACAGACTGGTTCACTTTCAATTTTCTTTCATGTTATCATTACTATGAAATTGTTGTATAGATAGGGTGATAAGCATTCTGGCATACCAGAAAAATAGCATCTGTAACACTATCTGGCATATTTTGGTTAAGGTTGTTCCTCCTTCGTAACTGCATTACATAATTTAAAAGTGTTTACTTAAGCTCCTTTGGGCTGCTTCCATGGTAGCTGTGAAGTCACAATTAGGAACAGTTTTGGCCTGGTAACAAAGTCTGACATGATAACAAAATCTGTTAGTTCAACATGAACACTGTGTCAATTTTTTTATTGTTGCTAATAAGAAATTTTAAAAACAAAGATATACTTAATTCATTTTATTTTTTAAAAGTATGCTACTTCAAAAACCATTAATAAATACACACAAAAATTAAAGAATTCATAAATGTGCACTTATTATTTAGATATACTGATTTTAAAACCTATATTCTATAAATTAACAGTGTAATTTTGACTCAATATAACTATAAATAATTAGGAAAAATTAGTAAATTATATAGAAGTATTAGACAGCCTTTAGGAGAATATGAATTATTAAAATGCCCTAGGCACTATTTTTTTCTCTAAGTCTTTCTAAGATAAATTATGTCAGTTTTAGAAGAATTTTTAAAAAGCACTAGGTTAGCAGAAAAGATTGTTTATTCTTGATTACTCAAGGAAAGGAAGTATGTGTATTTTCAGTTCCTTAGAGAACTCGAGTTCATTTACCAAATAACTATTTTTTAAAAACATGCTACTTCAAAAACTATGTGTACTGGTTTTAAAGAAAAATAATGCAATGTGCATTGTAAAAGTGGGAGAGGAGTCATTTAAATTTTGTATTGTAGTAAGTGTTATATCACATTAAAGGAAACATGCAAATTCTAATAAACTACCTAAAATCTCAATCATCCTTTTGGAATCATTGAGTTTTATGAATAAACAAGTCTAAGTCAAGATCCTGACATCTATAAACACTATAGTCCTATTTTAGAAATGTCATTTTGTTTTAATTATATAACATGAATTTACTATAAAATTATTTATTGGTATAATCTCCATAGCATTTTTGTTTTTTAAATTTGAGAAGTGATGGCCTTGCTATTGACCAAGTGAGCTACAAAGTCAGGAACATTTTAAGCAGGGAAAAGAAAAAGCTTTTAGGACCCAATTATTGCCCTGGAAGTATAGTCATTGTGAGGGTCCTACCTAGTTTGGAAGAGAGAGGTGTCTGTGTTCAGGAAGAATGACCTGGATGGGAGGGAATGGTCATAATGGAGAAGGGCAAAAAGATTATGAGACAAACTGCCTACTCAGATTGGCTTGGGATTAGCTTTGCCATTACAATGAAATGTTTGGGTTTTTATATTTCATTCTAATGTCAAAAAGAGGATGTTTATTCGACTTCTTATATTTAAGCATCTTTTCTATATAAGACATTGTTTATAAATTGTTTTATTTGAAATTAATATGTGTGGTGATTTTAAACAAAGTAATTCTTTGATACTCCTTCTATTAAAAGGTAGAGTATAATTCCCCTTTCTAGAATATGTATGACATTAGTGATTTGCCTCTAATGAATAGAGTCTGATGGAGATGATGCTACATGACTTCTAAGAGTAGGTCATAAAAGGTAATACAGTTTCACTTGGCTCCCAGTTTTGGGATCCTGGAACCCAGCAACCCTGCTGTGGGTAAACCCAGACCTCAAGAGAAGGCCAAGTGTAGGTGTTCTGGTTTATAGCCACAGCTAAAGTCCCAGCCTTTCATGGGTTCTCATCCCTACACATGCAAGTAAACAGCCTTTAGCTGTTGACACCAGCCTCCAGCCTATGAGCTGTATCAGCTGAGGCCAAGTGGATGAGAAGCAAGTTGTCCCTACAAAGCCTTACCCAAGTTTCATAATCATGAGTAAAAGTAATGTTATCTTGAATCCACTAAGTTCTGGAGTGGTTTGTTACATTTGTGAGTCCCTGCTTCCAATTAATCTGTAGCTCAGTTAGCTGTAACAAGTAGGTAGGAGATGGAGGAAGCAAAAGAAAAACCCTTTCCCTCCACTTTTCCTTGTTTCCTTAGCCAGACTGAAATCTTAGCACCTAATTGTTGTAAATCTTAGTACTAATTGTTGGTGATTAAATATGGCTTTGAAGTGACATTTAGGAACAAAACAAACAAACAAAAAAAACAAACACCACCATGAGGACCCAGTCTGAACTCCTTTTCCTTGAAAGCTTAGTGGCTGAGCAAGAAAAAGAGAAAGCTTGCTTCCCTACACTTCTCCTTTTCCTCTCCCCTAAGTAATCCTAGTTTCAAAAAAAAGGGGGGGGGGGAGTTTGTACTCCCCCCTTTCTGAATCAGAATCTTTCAAAAGGTATTTCCTTTTTCATTGCAAGAATATCTGGCCTTTTCAATGCTATAAAAGGACCAAACAAGGAAATATATTCATTCCTTATCAAGGAAACAGGATTTACTAATCAAAGTTATGAACTAGGGACACCAAGGCATCTTTAGTTACTCATCCCTATCCTTAGAAGGTTCATCTAGCTCCTCCCCTTTCCCTAAATGTGGATGGGTCCCCAAGGTTCTCTTCTCAGAAGCCATCTCACTTAACACACTCTCTGGTCCACTTATCCTCTCCTGTGGCTTTAGCTACTACTTACAATTCAATGACTCCAAAGAGCCAGACCTTTCTTTCCAAACCTCCTGGGATAATTCCCTGATACCTCAAATTCCACAGGGACAAAACACAGTGCCTCCTTCAGGACTTCAGGCCCGCTTCTCTGTTCAGTCCACATCCTGGACCAGAAACCTGGGACTCCCTTGCCCCACACAGCCAATCAGTTTCCCATTCCCTTGAATCTTTTTCATTACTTTTCTTAAACCCCTCTTTTCTCTATCCTCACTGCCACTTGGTACACAGGAAAGGTCCTAGTCAATTCTTAGATCAGGGGCTGTTTTACAGTCCATCACCAGAACCCCAGCCAGTGTAATCTTTTCAGAGACCTGTAATCTTTTCACACCTAACCATGCTTTTCATTAAGAATAATCTTTTCATGGTTTTCCCTTTCCTATAGGTCAGTGATTTTCAACCTTGTTCATCTCACGGCACACATCAACTAATTACCAAAATTCTGTGGCACACCAAAAATATATTTTTTGTTCATCTCATAAAAAATAGGTATAATTTTGATTCATTCACATAAATGTGATTCATTTGACAGCTCTTGTGTTGGCTGCTGTCATTTTTTATTTGACAATTTAAGGGAAAAGAGGTCAGTGCCACCGATTAAACAGTCAGGTATGCACGTTTTAGAAATTCCTGTGGCACACTGGTTGAAAATCTGCTGCTATAACTTTTAATCCTGAGGCACAATAGTCATTTACTCACAAAACACAGTAAACCCTTTGAAATTGTATGCAAAACTGTAGCATGGCATATTGCTTTCCATAGGTTCTCAAAAGGGTATGTGTACCCCAAAAGGTTAAAAATGTGTAGGTATCAGGCTAAAGTCCAAACTCCTCAGCATAGAATACAAGGCCTTGCATACCCTGACTAGCCCCATCCTTCCAGCTTCCTTTCTAAGCCCCTTTTCACCCTCTACATCAACCACCCATATTTATCTTGCCTTAATTCTTCACTGCAGGCCTTTGTACCTGCTGCTTTGTTTCTCAGCTTGGGAAGCCCTTTCCTTCTTAGCTGGCCTAATTTTTATCATCTAAGAAGCCACCTTCTTTCTTTTCAAGGAATATCTCAGGTCACACTACCTACATACAGCTGTGAAGGCTAAGCAAACGGGTGTCAATTCTTGCCTCCCTGAAGCCAGCCTACCAATTGCTCTTTCTCTTAGCATCTACCTCCTGGATTTCCAAACTGAACTCCAAGCTGTATTATACATTTTTGTAGTGCTTCCTTGGGAGGGAGAAATTGGGTGTAAATGAGTAATTTATAGTTGCCAGCAGATTTTTGATAATAAATCTCACACACACCTTCCTATTACAGAATATTGTGTAGGAATTTTCAACATCAAACGACTTTATATCTAGCCACCATAGGTGTTAGGTATTTAATAAATCTTGTAATTAATAAAAGCAGTTCTGATATTCATAGATCCATTAGGAGGTAATTTATCTGAATTATTGTTCCTGGTGCACCTCAACGCCATCCAAAAAAGAGTAGTCTACTATCATAATGTGTCCCTAAAATTACCTTGGAAGATGTTCCAACTTTTTAAGATAAACCCTGTTCTGACTAGTGTGCTAATTTCTTACAGCACAGGATCTCACAGTTAAACCGTTTCTTTTTCAAAAAAGTCTTTTAATTGTTGCCTCCAACGCAGCCCTTTACTTTTTGGGGCTGAGCATGTTTGAAGTGTATTTCTTTGCTATTAACACATCAACTTGTAAATAGCGCTCACCGTGCTGAGTCATCAAACTCCTTTGTTTCCCCAAACAGCTTATAACGACTTCTGGAATCCCGTCCCCTGGAATGGTGACAAGCTCCTGCCACTTGCCCGCGGCGCTGGGCCCTAGGCCCGCTCAGCTGAGCGGTGCCCCACGACCCAGTGTCTCGGGAAGCAGGCAAGACCACTGATTCTTCCGGAGCAAGGATGGCGCTCTCGGGACGCCGCTGAACTCGGCCTCAACTGGTCCCAGGCCGCTCCAGCCCCTCTGGAGCTGGCAGCTTTGTGGGGGCCAGCACCAACCTCGGCCCAGCACGGCTCACAAAATGGAGCTTGGTGAGCCAGAGACTAAGGCTGCTCGTGACTCGCGCAAAGAACTCGGGGCAGCTGGGGAAGAATATGGGGCTAGGACTGCTAAAGAAACCTCAGTGAACTCTCCGCACACTCCACACCTGGCAAACGCTCTGTTGCGGGTACTGGGGTCTAGGGAATACAGATGGGGGAGGAAACACAAGTGCCACCCCCTGCAGCCAGGGGGCGTTGACGTCACTGCTACTGTCAGCCAGTAGCAAGGGCGGCTGCTCCTCACAAGGCCCAAGCCCTCCGCCCCCTCCTTCTCCTGCTCCTCCTCCCCCGCCCCTTACTCCCTACCAAATCCTGCGAATCCGCACTCTCCCTCCTTTATCTCCAACTCCCACTTCTCCCTAGTCTCTTATCCCCAATTTTGACATTTTGCTTCCACCTCCAGCAAGGCTGTCAACAGCGCCAGCTCCGCCCCCCCACCCCCGCCGCCCCGCGTCCTACGTAACCACAACGGCTGTGTGGGGAGTTGTGGAGCTCAGGTCCTGGGCTGCTGGAGGAGAATGTCCCCTTCCTCCACCTAGCCCTCTAATTCATGGCGCTCTGGGCGCGCAGACACAGAATCCAGTGTGTGCAGGTCTGCAGCAGGAGCGATTTTCAGCTCAGCCTTGACACCACAGCCTTAGGATCAGCCAGATATGAGCTGGGAGGGAACGAGTCCCTAGCACGTCTTCGCCAGGGGTGGGCTCCCATGAGTGAGTGGAAGCCAGGGACCCACCCCAGACCTCAACCTCTGGTCCTGCGCCCAAATGGCATTCCCGCCTCCGCTCTCTCCGCCACTTGGGCGGTGCACTCTAGTCCTGCCTGGTTTCTACTCCTGTGGCGGCGCGGGCCCTGGCTGTATGACTGGAGGACAGTTGCAGACTGCCAACTTGAGCCCTCCAGGCCAGCCCACCGTGGATTCTGAAGATTACAGATTTTGTGGCAGTCGCTGCTGTGCCCCATTCTACCCCCCTCCTCTGTTCCCTTCTAATGTAGAGATTGGGGAGGGAAAAGAAAGCAGTGCAGAAAGGGGCGGTAGGACTGACCTGTCAACGATGAAGGAGGAAGACCCCCGGGTCAGGGCGAGCTCTCAAGCCCTCGCACAGGGACTGGGCCCTGGGTTCGCGCAGAGTGGCGCGGCTGCTCCTGTGCCTCATCTAGGTGTCCCCACTCGGCGTCGAGGACCCACCGAGCCCACCCCCTCCCCCGACAGCAGGCTCTCAACTCCATCAACTAGGGACCAGGAAACCCCCAGCTTAATTGTGTGTGTGTGTGTGTGTGTGTGTGTGCAGTTTCAGCAAAGCTCCGAGGAAGTTGGTCCTTTTGTTCCAGTATTTATAGATTGCGTCAACGTTGCAAAAAGGAGGCGGAGCGGGTGGCCCCTCCTCCTCCCCCCACCGGAGCTCCAGGGAGAGAAAAGTCCCAGCACACGACTTAAGTACACAACCCGGTAGTCCTGGGCTTGCCCGGGGCCTCCAGCTCACTTCCACCCCCTCCTCTTCCTGAGCGCTGCCAACCCCTTCACGTGCTCCAGCTACTAGGGGCTCTTCGTTGCCTGCCTGGCTTCTTGGCGGCGGCAGCAGCTGTCTCGCTCACCCGTGCGCCTAGCTCCTGGGCTCCGGCCGTGGCTCAGGCGACACGCACAGCCTGGCCACCTTCACCCTAGCCACCGATGGAGACCCCTAGTTTCTTGCTCTTGGCTATGTGCTAGGTTTCCGCGCTTCCACCCTCTTCCCCCCTTCCCGCTTCTGGAGCGCCACAGCCCTGGTCTCGCAGGGTGCGAGCGTTTGGGCCTTGTCTGGGAGCCAGGGACCGAACTAGTCCCCAGCGCCTCCACTTTCCTAGGCTTGGAGATGCCAGTCTCCCTTGGCCCCGCATGGTCAGGTGCGGAAGGGAGGCTGGGGAATTTGGGGATAGCTTCCCTTCAAGGGCGGGAAGCTCAGTGCAAATGTTCCTACAGGCTCGGAGAGGCTCTCCCTGGTCCGCAGGTGCAGCAAACATTGCGCGCTCTCACGTACTGCTTCCGGGACAGCTACTAACCAAGTAGTTTCCAGACCTGGGCTGCAGGGGGCGGGCGGGGGGGGGGGTGATATAGTTTTTGAGGAGTTACTGGAAGTTAGGTCTCTGACAAAAACATTAGAACTTTCCTTCAAAACCTGACGGCAAAATGGTAGGCCTTGACATACCCAGAAGTGAAACTGAGCTCCCTGCCGGCCTAAAGCCTCTGTTCCTGAGCCCAATGTAAATACAACAGGAAGGCCTTATAACAAAAACAAGTGCAAGTAGATGGTTTGAGTGTAATTTACCTTCACCGCTTCTGATTTTTTTAGATCGCAGTTGAACTTTCCAGAGTCGGGATAAAATAATTTAACCCATCATATCAGGGGTTGGGGAAAGCTGGAGGCAGAGCTGGGACAAGTGCAGGATACACGTCGGACCCTTCTGGGCAGCTGGACAGTGTAGTAAACAGTCTGGAAAGGTTATTTTTCTGAAGAGTTTGGAGAAACTCTTCCTGCACCCACCCTACTTGGGGCTCAAGGGTAGGCTGGGGAGGGAGCAGGGCTGACTGTGCACCCAAGCTCGAGGTGCATGCCCTACCACCATCCTCAACACCACCCCCCCACGCCTATGCCCCATAGCCTACTCCACCACACTTGCCAGAGCTGCTCTGGGTTCATCCAAACTCAGGAATGCTTTTGCAGGGGCCATACCCGGCAGCAATAAGTTCGCCTGTATCTGAGAAACCTTTTCAGGTTTGGACTTTTTTTTTTAAGGGGGGGACCTTAGTACATGAGTTCATCATCATGTACAGTAACACGTGCTCCACTTGCTGTAAAGAGGGAGGAGAGACAAAGTTAAAGCCAACCTGTGCAGTGATTGCTGGGTATCCAAAGCTCACAGCTGAGCCCACCTGCAGCAAACTGGATAGCGTGTTGGTCCCTTCACACCTAATGGGGTCTCGGAGCCAGGCACGGGAGCCAGTTTTATTTTCTTGGCGCCCTCTCTCTCTCCCCTTCCTTCTTTCCTTCCAATTTTGTTAAAAGTCTGGCTGGCCACTCCTTTTCCAGCATTTCTACTTTGCCTTATCCTCTGTATTTGAAAGACACTGCCTGCCTTTTCGTTTCCCCACCAGTTTTGATGCATATCTATCAAGAAGAAAATGTGCCAGGGCCTGCTGGCCTTTCAGGCCCCTGCAAAGAACAAGGGTGCTTCATGCTTTAGCTTTAGCCTTGCTCCCCTCCTCGCCCATCTCCCTCCCAACCGAGGTGTTCCACCACTTTGTCTGTCGAAACTCTCACTTTTCACCCCCACTTGGTTCTTCCGTAATCTCCCAGCTGCAGTGAGGAGGGAGCAAAAGCGAAACGAAAGCACGAAACGAAAGCACCTGGTTGTATCAGTTGCAGCAGCTTCCCAGATCACGGCCATGGAAGGCGAAGGTCTGGGGTTGGAGAGGCCAGGTAGGAGCCCCAAGTTTGCAGAAATCCAGGTCGTGGGTGGCCCCAGAAGAGGCCGGGAAAACCCTTCCTACCCCTGGGAAAAGAGAACGGTGTGATAATATACCAAGAAGGGGAAGTTTGGTCTGGGTCCAGCTGAAATTTAAGACTGATTGGACTCTGCGGAGGGGACACAGAGGAGTGTGGCGGGCAGGCTAGCGTTAGCCTCCAGAGGAGGATTCTGTGGCAAAGCCCAGAGGAGACGGGGTGAAGTAGGGCTCGCAGAAGCCCCCCGCCCCCCACTGGGGCTAGAGGCCCACGGTATTTTTGCTCCACTGATGTTGGGTAAGCACCACACCTCCCATCAAAAGCCATTGGTCTATGTAATATAAAGACTTCGGGAAAACTTTGGTGGCATCCTCGGCGCTGCCCTCCTTCCTTGGGGGTCGTCACTGCAGGGACAAGACAGCTTGTGCAGATTTGGATGAGCCCGTCTGGGCAGCCTTACGGAGGTTGCAGACCTTTTCAGTTAAAGAAAGGCATGAAAATACTTTCCTAAAGTGAAGGTAATCTCTCACAACCAACCCTCAGGAATGGCAGCAAACCCTAGTCAGGTCAGCTGAAATGAGTCCTTGTTCCCCCCACCATCCTACACAGTGAACCAGCGCTGGAAGATTGGCCTGCCAGACGCTCGCCCTGTCACTCCAGTACATTTTTGCAGGCAAACGCCCAAAAGACCTCATCATACCCTAATAAACTATTAACTTTATTATATTAAGTGGCACTTTTGTTGTAGCAATATCTGTGGATTTTGACAAGTGTTAAAAACATCATTTGATCCTATATGAGTTGAATGTGGAAACATAGTTTGTTCTAGTAGCTGGGTCTGTACTGGCACTATGCAACAACTGCTGTTACACCTCTAGGCATGTTTGCCTAAAGTCCTTTCACTTTTTAAATAGGGAGATTTAGAATTGTGTATTTGTTTGCCTTGTTTAGATTCTGTATTGCTGGCTATTTATTTCACTAACTGGGGTAAAAAATAGCTACAATTTTAAAAGATGCAAAATTGAGTTTGCTTTGGGAAGGCAGTCTTGATTTCCTGCCAATGTTTTGCTGATGACAGGCAGTAGTCAATTTCAGAGTAGCTTTGTTCATTTTTGTTCCTTCTCTCTTTGCCACAACTGCAAATACCAGAACTTTCTAACTGTAAAAAAAGATGGCTTACTCCACCTAAATTTCTTTATATACTGATGAGAGGAATGATGCAGGTGAAATAGACCCTTAGGCTATTACTTTTAGAAAGAGCCTCTTACTTTAAAAAATACTCACCAAAAGCTGTTTTGGGCTTCACATACGCCCACTGTTATCAATTTCTTCCAAAATTTTCCCCCTTTTACCTTATTTTTGTGAAAAATAGGTTTCATCAGGTTACCTTGTAAACTGGGAGTCTATACTTATGAAGGTCTTTTCTCCTCTATCCACTTAAACAAAGGTGCACACATAGCTTTGAAATCCCATGCACCCTACTTAAACAAAAGCAAAACCAAAAACCTGGGTATTCATAAATGATGCTTTGCCTGAGTTAAGTTCAGACTTCAGTGCCTAAAACGTTGCCTTCCCAGGAGGTCCCTTGAGCTATCCAAAGTCCAACTTTGTAGGCCCACCACTGGAACCTGAACCAGAAACCTTGAGTTGGAGTCTAGTTGGAAATAAATGTGTGCTTCTCGCGGTGAAATAGGAACTTGCCCAAGTGATGCATCTGGCTTTAGATTTTATGGGGAATATGATCTGGAAAAGGGAAAGCCTGTTCCAGGCTCGGCAACCTGCCGCTTATTATCCTTGGGGGCTCCAAACTGCAAACAGCTCCCCCAGCCTGGGCCTGCAGGGCCTTAGCTAACTTCAAGGTGCCAAGGTTTGGGTTTACTCCACACTGGCCCTCTCCCTTCTCTACCTCACCTGGGGTCACTCTCCGCGGCTAACGGTGCTTTTAGACTAAAAGAGAAAGTTTGAGGCTGAAGATCACATGTTTATAAAAGGGCTGGGGAAAAGGAGAGCCTCTTTTTTGTTAGTGCCAAGAAACTCAGATACACCGAATTCGTCGGAAGGGAAAGAAAACTTGCCGGGGGGAGAACAAGTGTTCCTAAGTCTTTGCCAGAGTTTAGGGAGTCCGGAGGTAGCGTGCTCCCTGTCCGCTGACACCCTCAGCCCCAACCGGGTTATTTTACAATACCCTAAGTCCTGCATTAGGCGTGGGCCTAGGCAGGGTGGGGGTGAGGCAAGGTGGGGAGGGCGGACCCCCTCTGTTTTAGGTGGAAGCCTTTAAAAGAGTTATAATAGAGTGTTGGGGTGGGCCTGAGGTGGGCCTGAGGAGTGTGTCAGCGTTGGTCTCCAAAGGCTAGAGAGGTGGGAGAAGTCGGGTCGGGGTGTGGATCCGGGAAAGGGCTGGAAAACTAGGACCTAGCGGAGGTGTGGGTCGAGAGTTTCTGCTATTGTGGGCTGGTTCTAAGGGCGAAGCCGGCGGGAATTGGGTCCGGCAGCTGGGGCGGAGTAAGCAACCGTTAGTGCACATCCTGACCCGGGAGACAAGGTTATGTCCCCCAGAGCGCCCTGCTCCTCCTTCGGCTCTCGAGGAGATTGGGGTTGGGCAAGATTGGGGTTAGGTGGGTAGGCTCTGAGTGGTGGGAGTAGTGTGACACCCAACCCAAGGCGATGAAGTCTGCAAGTTGCCTTCGGATCTTCTCCAGTCTATGTAGGGGGGGAAATAATCTAAAAGAACACCCCCTTGGGCAAGCAATCCTAAAGATAGAAAGGGACTCTGGGAAGGAGGGAAGCTCAGTTTTAGAAACTTCTCAGTTTTCAAGTTTGTCAAGCGAATGGGAATCTTGCTAGCTCTGGAATTGCTGCGCCCATTCCCACTTCCAGAAGAAAACTAGAGGAGTGTGCCTCCAAAGGAAGAACGAAGTTCGGCCCTGCTGATCGCCCTTTTGCTCGTTTTTCCCAGGGCCACCGGGAGCATCAGGTCTAAAGCAGCCTCCGGGGAGAAGCGGTCGCTAGGGTTCGCTGGGCTCTGGGGCCCCACCAGGGCCCGGGCGTTACAGCAGGAACCGCTGTTCCATTTCTGGTCTCCCAGTCGAAACATTTGGCTGAATCTCTAAAATAACATTTTTGGTAGTTCATAAAAGAAACAGGACAAATAGACCTACCATCAGACTTGCAACAGAGAACGATTTCCCTTGTACTATATAGCGAGATCGTTTTTTTCATTAGTTGAAGGAACTGGTTTTTGTTTTTTTGTTTTTGTTTGTTTGGTTTTTTTTTTTGGTATGATTTACCTGCCTGCTGGAGCTCCTGAGTATATTCTCTTTTCTCCTTTCCCACCTTTTCTGGCCATCAACTCCTTTCTCAGTTTTTGCTTTGTTTTGTTTTGTTTTTGAATGTTCTGGGCACTCAATTCCATCGTATCCATTGTTAACACAAGTAGCCGCTAGTCCAACTCAGCCTTTATCTATAGTCATTAAAAGTCACAGTGTTTGCATAGCTCTCACAAAATTTTGGTTGATGTGAACCATGGCGATGGAAAAGTATTGCTTTGTATGTTCTTTTCTTTCTTTTTCTTTTTTTTTTCACGTAGTGTTCAGTGATGGCACTCTCCTTCCAGTTGCAAATTCCCTCTCCTCCCAAACAGTATGGGCTTTATTTTTACAACGAGAATAAAGAGTTAGAAGAAATTAATCACTGACTCACTTTTTTTCCCCAGACAGGAATAACACTGAATGATGTAATCAGTTAAACAAAACAGACTTTAATATCATTAAACACTGATCTCTGTTAACCCTGGGCAATTATGGCACTTCAAAGAAGGAAGTGAAAATGAAATTCTTGAGAATAAAATAAGATTACAGAAGCTATCCATCCAAGCTCCAGATGTAGAAGAAATTTAGTTTTATAAAAAAGTTCTTATTGATAATTACTACTATGAAATAAAATGTGTAAAGCTAGTCCTATCAGGGTCCCTGAACATAGTAGGCACTCAATAAATATTTAACTTCCCCCTCTCTATTTCTTCCTGTCCTTGGAAATTTTGGGAGATGATACAGACTTCCCAGTGGCTAAGGAAATTATGCTCAAGTTTTACTTCTGGTTCATGTAATCTCCACTCACACACACCCCTCACAAAATGTATCCAGGGAACTTTAATAGCTTGTTAAAACTTAATGAAAATAGACAAAATAAAAGTATGGTAGTTACATATAAATCTGAAACACATTAAATTATTTTAAACTTTTCAGTGGCTGTAAGTGGCAACTATTACCATTTGATTTCGTTTACCAATTTCTACAGTAAAAATGAAAATTGTGGGCTCCTGCTCACTTCCCGAATTTCTGTTTGAGCAGCCTTCACCCACAAACCTATCTCTGTCCACCTTACATTTACACAGTGCAAATTTTATCTGGACACTGTTCAGCCACCCACTTTTGAGACTTGTGCTCATTTTTTTTCTTAAAAAAAATAAAATAAGAAAATAGAGAAGGAGGTTGTAGCAGTCACAGGTGGTGAAAACCTACCTGCCAGCCCCTTCTTCGCTGGTTTTAGAGTTGTTGGAGGAAAGAGGCGCTGGAGCGGCTCTTCCGACTCTTTTTTCTACCCCAAGTCACCTGGTCCGGTAGCCTTTTCTTTGGGGCCCATTCTGCGGGAGTAAATAGTCACTTCATAGAGTTTTCTGGCATCTCGGCACTGCTCTTTAAACGGAAAATTCCCGCACATTCCCCACTGCTTACAGGCTTTCCTGCTTCAAATGGTTAAGAATTAAAGTGTTCAGCACACATATTTGCTCTTTCTCCTTCTAACGGACAAGGTCAATCGCAGCGGTGACCTCGGCCACCCAGGCAGGTCTCAGCCTTCTGGAGCCTGTCTGCCCTTGGGGAAGAGCCAGCAGGCAGTGGCACCTCCTTAATCTGCGGCCCTCAGCGGTGAGCTGTGGCCACAATTCTTGGGCGTATGGAACGCGATACTCAGGGTCG